TAAGACCAAAATCAATTTTGTAATTTGTGCCGAGATATTGAACACCTACCCTTTATGGACCAGCTTGGTATGTATTGTTGAATAATTATTTCCGTTACATAAAAATTTTATATTGCTGTTAAAAATTTATTAGCACTAATGCAAGTATAATAGCAAATACCACAAATATTTAATAGCCACAGGATGCGCTAGTGCCTTTTCGGTCGTGTAGAACATAATTTTTAAAGAGCGCGTTAAATGCCTTTCCAAAACTAAATATAGATGAATTCTTGTCATAGCGTGACGAATTCCTATACTTTTAAGCTGAAGAATTTCGTACTTTGTAGTGACATATATCTTATAGGTAAGAGCTGATATGGCGGAAGAGTTTGTGGCAACGCACCAGCGACGCTTCCGCGCATTGTGGTTGGGAACTATGTCGAGGGACACTTGCGACATTGTCTCTTATTACTCGGACCTAAAAAAGGTTAAGTTAAATGACAACTTAATTCCATCCTAAGTTATTCAAGCTAAACGAATATATGCATTCACTTATACAGTATAAACCTTTAAGTTTGATGCAAGCTGTAAAGAAAATTACAATTACAGATTTTCCGAACGTCTTAAGTTTTAATTTATGATGTACACAGTCCCGAACCTAAAGAAATAGTTTTAATAACAATTATATATCTAGTAATATACTAGAAATGTATTAAGTATAAATTATTTACATCATATAACATCTGGAGTAATCCCAAGTTTCTTTTAAATTACCTCATTTTATTACCTACGCAGGAAAATTTCGCAAAATCATCTTAATATTGCGGACGCTTCAACTTCTTATGCACGCTTTTGTAACTGATTCGTTTACGATGTACATACGTTTTCGATTAGAATTGCTAATATAAGTTATAATGATAATATAATAAAAATACTTTTTTGTACTGGTTAAAAAAATAGCATACAAAAGGCGGAATCCTAAATAGCAACCTCGGGAAAACAACTCATAATATAAAATACATTCAAATTTATTTTCCATTAAATTAATGCATTCTATTGCCGATAGTCTATTAATGTAAATATGTATATACGCAAAATATCACGAATTTTGTCACACAGGTGCGTGTATTAAATGTAACTTGTAAGTATATGATATCGACTTCAATTGCAGATGTCTCATTTTGTAAACAATAATGCAATACTCACTCTCATTATTCCGTATGCTCAGCACAAGTTTACGTCGCCAAACTGGATATGAAACGATTCATTAACTAACATAGGTTGCGTTAACATAAAGAACTTGTATAATGTGCGAAGATTTGTATATAGTGTGATGAAGGGAACTAGTTATAAGCAGCTGAACTCCAATATAAATCTTTTTCTATCTGGCAATTTCCCAGCTTTAGCCAGGGTCTGCCTTACATGTTGTAAATAGTTTTGGCTAATTGCATTGTTTTTACGACCGGCCGCCTGCCTGACATCACCTCTTGGGGAATTGAGCTCTAATATACATCAGTGAAGTAAAATTTTTCCACCATATTATGGGGATTTCAATATATATTTTTATCTTGATATTTTAAGCAGAGTAAATACGAATAAGTTCCCAATACTATCATAGTATAGGTACTATATTATTAAAAGAGCAATATCAAAAGATTTAAAAGGTACAAAATATAATTAAGTAAATCTTTTTGAAGTTGAAAACGTATACCACAAAAATTCTGACATTCATATAAGAACTAAACTCCAGGATTAAACAAATGCATAAATGTATGTATACAGGGTTACAAGTTAAATCGACCGAAGAAAGGATATATTCCATCATTCCTAACCGATTTGACTTTGGAACCCCATATCCTAAACCTAACTCTTCTCAAGTTATTGGCCTTTGAATTTATTTTACAAAAATTACAGGTTTTTTGTCGATTGCCTCTTTATTTTTGTTTCGTGTCCCAATTTTGTATCATTTTTGCGTTTTTTTTTCCTTATATACCAATTGTCCTTGTATACTAATTTTCCTTATATACCAATTTTCTTTATACAGGGTGACTGGTGAATTACTATCAATATTAAAGGAGCATACTCGGTACATGATTCTCATTCGAATTATGTAAAAAAAAATAGGCACTTAATTTTTGACCAAATTTCCGTATAAATAAATAAAGTGTGTACACGTTCCAAGTGTGGACGCGTGCGGCGGCGTGCTGATACAACACCACGCCGCCGCACGCGTGTGTGTGTGTGTATACCTAATCTGTAGGGTGTTCACACGATGCGTAATTAATTACATAACTTTTGGTTAACTTTACTTAGAAGTTTATTAATATTTATGTTATATTAATTTTTATTTTGTCATATATGATCGTCTTATATCACGTCCTCAAGTATCAATAGTTATTCACCAGTCACCAATACCAATTGTCCTTATATACCAATTTTCCTTATATACTCATTTTCCTTATTTTCGAACATTTCAATCCCATACAAATGGTATCAACAGGCAACACAGATTTATCCAAACGTCACCAAAATAAAAGTCACATATATATATTCTTTTCCATTTTATTTACAATATATTAATATTCTCTGTATCTGTTATAGTTTGCTTGTATCATTTCAGGCACTGCATGTACATATTAAGCGTAACACACAACTTATAACGTGACCCCACTTTTTCAACAAAATTCAAAACAGAAAATTCTTCTTCATTAATCTCTTAAGCCCAAGTATAGTTAAAACAACAAAAAATCAATCTTCGCTTAATAATGAACAGTCTAACGAATGGAAATCCTGCTTAAAGCGATTTTTTATTTAAAAAAATAATAATTTCTGTATATCGTAATATACAAAAGTTATATAATTTCATACATTTATTGCTATAAAGACGAAAACAATTAACTACGATAGCAATTAATGATAACAAGAATCAACAAAAAACTTACTCACGGTCTACGACAGCTTTAAAGGAAATTTGGTGTGAATATTTGTTAATGTCTATTCAATACGATTTCGACATTATTACAAGTGGGAATTTAGACTTTTTAACTACCGAAACACCTATTGAATGTCTAAAAGCAACAGCAATTGTCCACCAAAATAATTACAATTAATTTCAGTTGCCACCTTTATATGCTAAAAAAACAAATATATGTATATATTGTAAAAGTTTAAAAGCATATCACATGTAGGAAAACTGTTTGATCAACTACCCTAGAAATATATCAGAAAACTAAGTTACAATATGTATTGAAATTTAACTTTTAACCATGAACATAATTTTAATGAAAATATCTTTAGCCTACAAAATTCCAGGCAAGTTGGAATACATATGTTCTGTGTACGAATTATTTTAGTGAAAAAGTGAGGTCTAAAAATGTTCCGTCAAGGATAAGTGAGATATATCTTATAAGACATCAATTTTCTATTTAATTAAACGATTGAACACAGTGAGTTAATATATCACGACAGATTTAACTAAGACCAATAACAAAAATAATGTTGCAAGGTACCAAAGAGGTTTATGTTTAAAAACAAATTATGAAGAATCTTTGGGACCGATCTGATAATACAATTGTTGTAAAAAGAAAAATATTCTTAAAATTAATATAGAAAATATTTTTCTTTTCATCAATATCGGTGATTATGTTTTATATAAATTGACTATTTTAAAATATAAATTTATGTTTTCAGTTCGATCCAAGGAGACTTCATGTTTCATCTAATGGTAACACTGAATTGTACAACAAAATCTCTACACGTAAAGCAATCAATTATTCTAACATGCATTAAAGAAATTAAGTTAATAGAATATCACTACAAAGCCAGAACAAAATGAATAAACTAATTTCATTATTTAAGTACTGAAAACTACGTTTAAAACGAAATTAATTCAGGGACGAAGATTTAAATTATACTAAGAAAGTAGAAGGCTTTGAGCAATATTCCGAAATTAAAAAATATATAAACTTTTTTAAACAAATTAAGATTCATGACGTCATAGCGTATGTTCTGTCAAGTATATATTTGTTGTCTGTTTCAGTTTGAGATCCTGTGACAGCACTCAGGAACTAGAAGTCGCATTTCACTACATAGTAATATTGCACGTGATTTATTATTACTTATATTATTATTGTCTCCAACATTTTTCGATCTTTCTCGAAACAATATTAAATATAGATCATAAAATATATCTTTTTTTCTACGCATGATAATTTCACTTCCAAATTTCGAATATTATTGGACCGTTCGATTCATTGTCGCGTTATTTTTTTTTTCATACACAAATGCAAAGGAAGTTTCTTAGATCCAATATAATAATATATACCGCGTTATTTCGTAAACTTGTTTTTTATAATTACATAGTTCGTTGATTACTTCTGCGAGCATTAATGCTATTATTCAATAGTAATCCTTATTTTATTATGCGTTCACACAGCGAGTTCGTATCATAGACTTAGAACTCGAGTTATTTTTTATTGCTCGTTTAATATAAGGACGGAAAAGAAATAAGTTTTCATAATTACTATATCCTGTCGGTGGGAATTATTTGGCATTGCATAAATGCGAGTAGCGAAATGCAACTTCAGTTAATGCCAGCTCTCCATTTAATAAACTCATAGTATGATATATACCCATTTATTATGTATTTTCATATAATTATTTAATTAATCCCCAGTAACAGAGCTAGCATTAAGTTGAACAATTCAAATCATACTGTCAACGAAACAGCACAATAAATTCCGGCTAATAAACAGAAAAACACTTAAAAAGATATATTTTTCATTGACGTTCCTTTAAAAAAAATTATTAACAAAAATTCATATCAAATATATCACTTTGTAGGACGCGATATTGGCTTGGCATTACGAAAGCCATTTAAACAGCACCGTTGTTAAAAAAAATAACAATTCAAATATGGAACGTCAATAAAAAAACGTGACGAGTGACGTCACTAGTGACATCTCGAGCGGGGGAACGTCAATGAAAAACAGATCTTATGTAGTATAAATAAGGTCGTTGTTTCAAGTTAGTCGGCACGGCAGACGTCCACACGACGAGTGCCAGCGTCGCTTGCATTGCGTCGACTCGTCTGACAGTTCCGCTGTCGACATTGTACGGGAACCGTCACCCAATTCTGGAATAAAATTACGTCATAATTATTCATATTACGTCATAATTATTCATTCATATAAATCTCTCTCTGAAGGCATTAATATCCAATAATACATTTTATAGCAGTATGAAAAAAGTTTTTTAAAAGTTTAACGATTAATTCGATGACATTTCGGTATGAAGATATAAAAAACATAACACTCATTAATTACATAGCGGTTGAATAAAACCAATGTTATTAAGAGTCAGTGTAATCGTTTAAGCCGCGTTATTAAAGTAGATGGGTGTGTTCAGTTATAAAGCGTTAGTCAACAACTATTAACACTTAGTTATATTATATCAGATGATTTGCGACACTCTTCAATAATTACTTCTGTATATTAAGAACAAGTTCGCATTATCATACATACATTAAAATTAACCATTTTCCATTTGTAAATCTTCGCTTATTATGGGCTAAAAAACGGGAAACTCGTATGTAGTTTGACGATGCGAACATGTACTAAGTACTGCTCTGATATAAGCCGATTAATATGCATATTTTATAATAAAATACTTTTTATTCTTAAAATAAAAACTTATTGGAATATATTTCAAATTCATAGTTTTTTACAGTATATAGATTTTTTATATAAATCCTATAATTATAAAAAACTCTCAGTAATATTCTCTAATTTATAAGCAGATTATACTTTTGTATTAGTTATTTCTGAACACAATGCTACGAACCGAGTTAATGAACAAACGCGCTCCCGAACGTGACCCAGATCTTTAAATACGTCAGAATCTGCAATACAATTTGAATTAAACCCACTAATCTATACAATTTTATACAATTACATTGTCTGATTGTTCTGTATGTTTGTATGTTTGTTCCGGATAATCCCTAGAACGGAATTTCACCTGACTTTCACGAACTGTATCTGATGTAATTAAAGTTAGACAATTTTATTTATATAATTATTGAAAACTGACTATTATAAGTAGACGAAGTCGGGGTCACAGCTAGTTTCGTCATACCATGACTACGGGATGAGTATAATTAAATTTTATAGATTTTAAACGTAACTCGCTTAAATCTCATCTATATAATATATCGATGTCTTCATACAGAATACAAATAAAGGAAAATCAATAGGAAAATTACTGAATATTAACAACAATAGACAATTAATGATAGTAGTGTTGGCTGTTACTTAAGATTACTGAGAGGATTGATTAAAAACAAGGTCATGGAAATATGCTTATTAAAAAAGTAAGTTCCAAGACAGATTTCTTCTGTAATCTCTATACATATATTAGGTACGCATAATTAATAAAAAATAACACAGATAATGTAACAAATAAGAAATATATACATATATCCCTTACTTATTACAAATCCCACAACGCGATTGCATTCTTCCATTATAACGTCAATGTATAAGGTACTAAGATCTAAATCAGAAGTCTTTTTTTCATATGTTACAAAATATATCAGGCACATAAAAATCGTATCAGTAATTTTTGGTTGGGAACTGCAAAAAGTTGGTCCAAATTGGCCCATCGTGTTGGTGATGTTAGTTCTATAGTGGTGATACATTGGCCATCGTATTGATGATGTTAATTCCATAGTGGTGATACTGACCATGCCTCAATTCTCGTTCCGTGTAGTAGTCGTGTCCGCCGTAGTGTCTTTCTACCAAGTATGGTATCACAGTTGATGAGTGAAGCTCGTCTGAACGACGGGAACGAGGACCAACTGCTGTCTCACCAGCTCTCCACGGAGGGATAGAACGAACCCAGCTGAGGAGAATATTATTGGGATATAGTAGTAGTAGGATGTATTTTTCATTTTTTTTTATTTAAAAACTTTATTGTCTAACTACACACGTAAACACAAAAGACGGACTTAATGCCTGAAGGCATTCCCTACCAGTCAACGTTTAGGCAAAGCAGAAAATCGTGAAGACGGTAGCAGTAAAAGTTAAAATATACATATAAATTTCTATTGTTATATAAATAATATTTACACATATATAGATACATAAGTAGATGTAGTAGTAATCATCATCATCATCAGCCTATCAGAGCCCACTGCTGAGCATAGGCACACTCACATGGAGAAGGTTTGAGCATTAATAACTACACTTGCTCAAGACGGATTCGTGATTTCAAACTTATAATTTGAAATTACAAGTCAATTTTTCTTCACCTATTTTTTTAATTTACCTACTGTCAGTGGTATCTAAATAATCTTAGAAAGTACATATGACTAGGAAAAATCACATTGGTACCTGCCGGGATCGAACCCGCGCGCTAATACACGAGGCGGGCCTTTAAACTCTAAGCCACCACGACATCTAGTAGTAAATATTAGTACTATATTCTGGTAGTGTTAAAAATGGTAATTATTTCAAAACTAGGGCAAAGACAATATTGATAGCTTGCCTCATGATTTAATGACCAATTAGATTGAGTCAGATGTTGTATTGTATGAGTTATTACAATGCTTTCCTCATTAATCTACACAACCACACACACACACACACACACACACACACACACACACACACTAGATTGAGTCAGATGTTGTATTGTATGAGTTATTACAATGCTTTGCTCATTGATTTACACACACACACACAAACAAACATATACACACCCATACATATATATGTGTATACTCACTCATGTCTCCTAATCTCCTGTACAGTGGGCCTCTTCTCGGGGTCCCTGCTCAGCATGTGTTGTAACAGTCGTTGTAGCTCGGGCCCCACAGCTGGGGGCGGGGGCGAAGGCTCCCCTCGACCGATGGCCTCCAACAGCCGGTACACGTTGTCACCCTCGAACGGATACTTCCCTGTCGTCATATTGTATCTGTTGAATATAATATTTGTTCTCTATCTCGGTACTGCACCCCATTCAATGTTAAACTCTGAGATGATGGATTGTGATCAATGATCGGTGACTCTGAAATGACTGTAATTATCAAGCTTCTAAATATAATGTGCATGTTTGTATGTATGTTACATATAGTTGTAACTCTAGCACTTTCAATACAAGATTTTAAATGTTAGTAAGTGAGATTGAATTTTTTGTGGATTCATAGAAGGATACAGTTTAAACACTATCATACTTGAGTGACTACAGTATAGTATCAAAGTTCAAGAAAATATAAAGTAGAATTTCTCATCTCATTTACATTTTTTTGAATGTAAAGTAGAAAAATCAGCAGCGGTGAATATGATTATTTTTTTTAACTACTTGACTACAAAAAACATTAAATACTTATACTTCAATGTCTACTTTAATAACATAAGTCTCAACAAAAAAGGCGCTTAAGAATTATTTACATAATAAAAACCAGACGACTCCGCTAATATTTAACATTAAGGCCAAAAATGTCGAGTAGAATGTTCCGGAGAATACTCCGAGATGACAACAGAAGCATTGTAATTCAAAATATTTCCATTGTATTAAATGTATGTAGGTCACTTTACTTTATATACTGATTGTTGACAACCATATTATTTAAATCAGCTATATGTGAGTCATTGCCAACAATATCTTTAAGTGTAGCACAATTTTAATCACATATTTATTATAATATACCAAAAATACTATAAAAATATATTTAATATTAATCTTCATATGAGTTCTGACTACCTTAACTAGTTATATATATGTACATCTAAATACAGCTGTATATAAGATTTAGTTGACACTTCATAATGCAATGAATATAATTCCTTATAAACCATATACATAATTCTCCCAAGCAAATAGAAAATTGCTAAATGTGGAATTCATAATGTAATTTAAAGTTAATTTCTAATAAAAATTACATTTACTCTCTTATAATGACATAAATAATATCTACAAATACTTACAATGTAACCCCACTACTCCATATATCAACTTTTGTTCCCGAGAATTGTTCGGCACCATTTGCAATCTCAGGAGGTTGGAAGGCAGGAGAACCTTGACCGGTATAACATGTGTCCTTCGGAGAAAACATATCCAACGCCTGAAACAGTAATATGATAAAATACATTGTACATTTCAAGCTATTAATAACTTTGAACTCACTGCAATGTTTATTTTATATGTCTGTGTAAATAAAGCTTTAGCTTACTCATACAAGATAAGAGGATTTTTTTTTATGAACAAGGAAAATGTTTCATACAAACCTCAGCAACACCGAAATCAGTTATTTTTAATGTTTGGTCCAATGTAAGGAGTAGGTTTCCCGGTTTAATATCTTTGTGTACTACACCCTGACCATGCAAATATTCTAAGCCGTCCAGCAGCTGTGTAAAGTAATCGTGTGCTTGCCGTTGAGGAAACTTCTTACTGGGATTGGATTCTAACATATCCTGTAATAACGAAATATAAATGTTGCTATATTATCTATAATTAATGAATGAATATATATATTAAATGTATATAAGTCACCTGTAGCACGCCAACACAGAATTCCATAACTAAATACATTTTTTGCTTCTCATCATTATACATAACATCGACTAGTTCTATCACATTTTTGTGTCTAAGTATTCTCAATAATTGTATCTCCCTTTGCACGTTCTGTTCTCCGTTAGGTATTCTTCTCAATTTTCGTTTTTTTAATATTTTAACAGCTCGTCTACAAAGCGTCACCGAGTCCAACATCTCCTTCACTTTACCATAAGATCCCTCTCCCAATACGTCACCCATCACGTATTTCCCTACCATTTTACATTTTTTCTTTTTAGTTCTGTATATTATATCTGCACTATCGACTCTATGAAAAAATAGGTTAGTTTGGTCTAAATTGAGATCTAAGTCATCAATTTGATCGTCGTCCAGCCAAGTTACCGAGTGCTGTTCCGGACTGCCCTCCAATAAGAAATTCTCTTCACTCTCCTGCGGTGCGATGATGTTTGATATTTCAAACTCCGCATTTTCAGCGTCTGGAAGACTTTCACTACTACTGATTTTCCTGCACATTCTCGGATCCATTATCTTTCAAAACAACACATTTGGAAAACTGTCCGTAAATCTATATTAACTACAAGGCCGTTTGCCTTGACATATAACGTTATTTATAAAATTAATTTACACATCTCTCAAAATATATGCTATGCCTTCATGATGGACAAAAGATTTTTATAAAAATTAGTTGTTATTTGCGATGACTGAACGTAAATAAAATAAGAATCCATGAAAATTGAAACATCGCAACAAACCACAGACAATTAAAATTCAAAACTTGGCAAATCAACGTTTTCCTGGCGGAGACAGATTAAAAAAGTAATAATCACATTTGGTTTTATTCATTGACAGTTTCAATATATGTAATTGTATTATTAATTATTATTTATCTTCCATATGTATTCAAGGAATAATTTTATTAAAACGAAAATGTTATTTAAGACTAATCTAGACCTATGTAACACTAATAAATGTGATGAAGAAAACAAGTAAGATAAGTAAAATTAATAGATTAGAATTGACTATATTACTTTCTTCATGATTTTTTTTATTTTATAAAATAGCTCCAGTATGTCTTTTAGTAAGTATCTTAAAAAACAAGATAGTAAAATCTAGTTGTGTTTGATAAATTAATAATCCCTATATTTATATCCAGTATTAAAAGCATTTTTTGTAAAAATGTTATTTATGGGATAAAACCCTAAACAAAGTTTACAATTATGTTTCGTTGTAAGAAACTTCATCCAAGTAAAAAATATAATGACGTTACGATGTAAATTTCAGTTTTACACAAGCTTTAGGTACATATAACGGCAAACAAAAAAATTAATAAATGTAGTGCTATTCTAGAAGTCATAATTTATTTATATGCCCTAGGATCATTACATTTCAGTAGTTGATGGTACTCTCAGATGTATACATCTTTTTTTCTATTCGAATATAATTAAAATTTAATTTGCTACCTATAAGAATGATGGAAAGTCTAGGATATAAATAAAAAATTTAAAAATAGAAAATGTTTCATACAGTAAGACTGTTAGGTTGGTGAATTAAATGTTTTAAAACATAATCATTACTATAAATTGACTCTCTATTATTGTTTCATGCTACGAAAGTGACACCAGAATTATTTTTAATTCTTTACAGGTATTAAACAAAATCAAAAGAAATTAGTTTTGATCAACTTGAAAAAAAAAAACAGCAGATGTTGAAAACTAAGGCATTATTTATTGAACAAATAAAAGGAAACCACAAAGAAACAACTTATTTTAACAAAACAAAAGCTTTATTTCCATGTATTCATTGTATGATCAGATTTGTTACGTATAAAATTACTTTTTATATTTTGTGTTCATTTCTTTCTTGAGCAATGATAGACGTGTGAGGCAAGCGTCCCTCCAGGCTCGCCTTTCTGGAAGCCTCTCGATAGGAACCATTTCGTTTAGTTGAGCGCATATCGTATCCGCGCTTTTTGATGTGTTCATATGAGGGATCGCACCAAACGTCTTACTTACGCTATTGATTGTGTCACCGTACCTGAAATTCATATTAAATTACATTATTAGTACTAGATTTTGAATTTGATCGACCTAAATAGTTTATCGTTAATTTAGTCATCTTTTAAATTTATGGTGAGGATATAAAGCCTAAATCCAAATAAGGCATATTTTTTTTAATGCCCTCACGACGATGAGAAATGGCGGCTAATGTTTGTGGATGAGTGCATTTATAATTTTATAAAAACCTTTCGATATAACTCTTCATTCCTTCAGCATTCAAATGCGCGGTTTCCAAAGAACCAAGGAAAGCGTATCGCATTCCCAAACCTTCGGAAATAACTTTGTCGATGTCCTTCACGTCAACGACTTTGTCGTCAACTAAGCGCCAAACCTCGTTCAAAATGGCGTACCTGTAATAAGATTTGGTAAAAAACGGAGAACATTAGGCTTTAAATGAAACTAATATTTTCTGATTACTACGCGTATTATAATTTATTTTACGGCAGACGAAATCTCGTCTGCCCGTGATAACGGTTGCTGCAAAGTGACCGAAACGATGGGAGTATGTAGTTTTTAATAATAATAAAAAACGTAGCAATCCGAAAATATTAGTTTCCTTTAAATGAATATTCGCGAAAGTCCTACATCTCATTAGATTAGCTTTAATGGTGGAATAATAATAATTATTACTGTATGCGGTTGAGCACAAATCCATCAATTTCCCTCGTTAGTGACACCGGCTCTTGTCCTATTTCGATCATAATTTCTCTTGTTTTCTTGGCAACTTCAGGTTTCGTCCAAGGCGCTGGGACTATTTCCACCAATGGCACATAGTACGGTGGGTTCACTGGATGCGATACTATTACCTGAAACATTATTATTTAGGATTAGTTTATTAAACTAAATATACTTACTTATTAAGAATTTCGAAAATAATTTGGTATAAATCGAAGTTTTTAATGGATGTTCTGTTATAGCAGTAAGATTATATAACAGTTCAGAAATCCCTACTAATATTATAAATGCGAAAGTGACTCTGTCTGTCTGTCTGTTACGCTTTCACGCCTAAACCACTGCACTGATTTTAATGAAATTTGGTACAGAGAAAGAGTTGACCTTGAGAAAGAACATAGGATAGTTTTTATTCCAGACTTTTGAAAGGTTCTCTTGGTAACGCGATATAACCGAACTCCACGCGGGTGAAGCTGCGGGCGAAAAGCTAGTTTACAATAAATATTGATAGTCTGTACTTAAATTAATAGCACACATTTATAGTAATGGAAAATTACCTATGTCTAAGTAGGTACATACCTGCGACTTATGTTTCATCCCTTCTGAGATTAAAGATGGTAATGTCGTACTAGTAGAACTAGATAAAATAGTTTTATCATCCACAACCTTGTCTAAGTTTTGGAAAACTTTCCTCTTTAAATCTAAACTTTCTGGCACACATTCTTGGACGAAAATCGCGTCTTTCACTGCAACAGCTAGATCAGTGGATCCTGGAAGTAATTATCAAAAAGTCAAGTTAAATTCTTCGTTATGTCAAATTGAAGAAGAACAAATATTTTTTTCATACAATTAAATCGATAGCACTTAGAATGTTTTTGCATCATATCCATACGAAATCTATTACGATTAATCTAGAAGATTTTCTTTTTAAATCCCTTCATAGAAGCAATATCTACCTTTAATACAACTGTACTGTTCATCAGCGTTTAGAGATCCACGCAGTAGTCCGTCGTTCTGCAAAGTCTTCAGCTGTATTTTAATATCGTCCAACGCATCGGTTACTTGCTTCGGAATGATATCAAATATCGTGACCTGATAACCCACAGAGGCGAAAAGCATTGCCCATGATCTTCCAATTAGACCACTGTAATAAAAATATATGATATGATAGCATAAATAAATATTTTTTATATTTCCCGTGATTAAGAAAGCTGAACAACAATTTTTTTTTTTTTTAAATAATACCGACCAAATAGGTACACAATTATTAAACTCTTTGGTCAATGTAAAAAAATACTATATAGGCTGAATAAATTCAAATAAAATTTGGTTATATGTAGATCAAGTATGACTTTTTTTTAAATACCATTGATTTCATAAAAATTAAAAGTGTATGTAATTCTTAAAATTACTTAATACTCAAAACTTGTTATGCAATACGCTCAATTTATTTATTATAAATAAAAATAAGTTATTTGTTTTATAAACAATGTGTTATAGATAACAAAGTTCTTATGTAAATAACCTATAGTGTGATAATATAATTATCTATGTTTACTTGTAATACAACCAAGTACTTTGTCATATCAGAGGACATTTTATTCTTAAGTGTTAATATGTATCTAAAATTTTAAAAAAGAAACATTTTAAACCTTTTTTAGTTTTATTTTTAAATACTACGTCAATAAAATTTAATACGTAGTGATAAAAAATACATTTAGACATCACGATGCAGTTATAATTAATGTCAAATATTATGCATGCATGCTATTATTGAAAAATTTGTGTCAAGGTTCAACTGTCGATACTCGATGCAAAGACTCGTTTGGGAGCGGTGCAATAAAATTTACATAAGAAATTTTCATGAAATACACAACATTTAACAGAATAAATAAACTTAAATAAGTGAAAGTATTGTTAAAAATATTTTTTATGTCTCACAGATTTCGTATCACTTTTATTTATTTTATCCTAATAGTGTTATTCGTCGTTATTGCAACTTAATTCCAAATCCTTATAAAATTTTGAATGACTTTTAAATAATTTTCAATGTGCGATATGATAAAGGTAACATAAAATCTCACCAAAAACATGCCTGTTAAAAAGGGGGCCAAGTTCCAATCGGCTAATTGTTTGCCTAAAAAAGGGGTGAAATCCAATCTAATGCCAAGTTTAGATGCACTTTGAAATCGATCATAATCATCTTCATCAACAGCATGATCCACTGGTAAACATTTGCCATTCCCAAGACTCGCCACCACACCCAGTCCTCTGCCTTCCACATCCAGCCACTACCCGCCACCTTATTCACGTCAACGGTCCATCTGACCGAAATTCACTTTACCATACACCCAACTTAAAATATGGTATAGTTGTGAAAATACGTAGGTGCTTGGGTAAAAATATCTAAAATTATAATACTTCTCAATTTGAACTTGGCAGGTTTTTGTGCTGTACGTAACACTTAATTAATTGTATCATTAATTTATTATTTAGTTATATAATTATTTATATTTATATAATTTAAATATTATATAATTTAAATAATTAAATTAACCTGCCAAGTTCAAATTGAGAAGTATTATAATTTTAGATATTTTTAACCAAGCACCTACGTATTTTCACAACTATACCATATTTTAAGTTGGGTGTATGGTAAAGTGAATTTCGGTCAGATGGACCGTTGACGTGAATAAGGTGGCGGGTAGTGGCTGGATGTGGAAGGCAGAGGACTGGGTGTGGTGGCGAGTCTTGGGAATGGCAAATGTTTACCAGTGGATCATGCTGTTGATGAAGATGATTATGATCGATTTCAAAGTGCATCTAAACTTGGCATTAGATTGGATTTCACCCCTTTTTTAGGCAAACAATTAGCCGATTGGAACTTGGCCCCCTTTTTAACAGGCATGTTTTTGGTGAGATTTCAATACTTTTTTTCAAGAAATCGTACATACAATCGTACTATACAGCCGTACAATGCATAACTTACAGCATGAAACATACAGCTACCATCTGATGGCATAGGAATTACCCTATGTGGTATATCTCCGCCAACCACCGAAAGATGTACAATTACCATCGTTGGTAAATGAATAGTAGAAAAGAAATAGAGTGAATTTGTGCTTTTAACACACACAAGTAATCAATCAATAAGCAATATCAAAATTAATCCTTTAGCAAGTCAAATCAGTGATCCATTTAATCGTAATCGTAACCATATATAAGATATCAAGACATAAGTGTAGAAAGAAATAGAAAGAAATGAACATCGATTCCTTATCGACTTTCATTCATATATACTGCAGACAAAACAATATCGCGATTCAATTATACCGCTAGCGCCATCTATCGAAAGTAATTTATAACAATAGAAACCTGATTTTTTAGGTAAGCAATATTTAATTAAGTTATACAGAGTGCATTATGTATACATGACAATATTTTATATCCCTTATATATATATCAGTTCTTAAGAAGCGCCCCACACTTTTTTCACAATAATATTAATTTAAAAATAAATTAACAAACAATAAATGGTTTTTTTGTGAAAAAAAAGCGTGATGAGCTTCATATATCACTTCTTGAGAAGCGCCCCACGGTTTTTTTTTCAATAATGCCATTTATTGTTTATTTTAAACAATTTAAATTAAATTGATTTCCAAGGTTGTAAAGGTTAAATTACTTTCCACGCGGTTTCTTTCATCATTGGAGCTTGTTTTTTAGTTTTTTTAAAACTATATTTATTTCTTATTTTTTAGTTTCATTTATCACCGATTGATAGATGTACTCATATCATTAATTATTAATATTTCATTATAATGTATTTTATTGTGCTGAGCTGAGCGCCTATATAAAGGTTTTGATTACCTGTCAGTGAGTCAGTGCCAAAATTAGCTATTTTCACAGGGTCATATTTCAGGATCTACTGAAGCTTTATCTATGAAATTTGGCATACTGCTTTAGGACTAGTATATAATTACGTAGGTACAATTTTATCTCTGTACTTGCAATAGACACTGAGCTACAGGGGGTCAAAAGTGGGTCGAATTTATTAAAAATTCGATATTTAGAATTGAGGCAACTCACGCTTGACCGATTTCTTAAATTTCTTAATTTTTTGTTAATCTACATATAACACACAACCTGTGTACCAAATTTCATAATGCTAAAACAATGGGAAGTGGCCTAGAGGTTTTGATTACCTGTCAGTGAGTCAGTGCCAAAATTAGCTATTTTCACAGGGTCATATTTCAGGATCTACTGAAGCTTTATCTATGAAATTTGGCATACTGCTTTAGGACTAGTATATAATTACGTAGGTACAATTTTATCTCTGTACTTGCAATAGACACTGAGCTACAGGGGGGTCAAAAGTGGGTCGAAACGGTTCGTGTAAATATAGTGCACGGCATGCGCCGGCCTGTGGAACTTGGCCGGCGCACTACCGTGCGCTTAGATTGTTTTTAAAATTACCATGTTATAAATTCAACAAAATATCTACAATGATGAGTTATGACTTTGTTTTATAAAAATTCATAGCAGGTATATATTTTATTTCGTAAATTTTAACAAAGTTATTTAGTACTTCAAGTTTATACATGTTAGTCAACCGGTGAGTGACGATTATATTCTCTTATATCCACTTGACACTTATGTTAAGTCGTATTATTATATAGAAATAATAATAAAAACATTTAAATCAATATTATTATATGTGTATATTTATTATAACATACCTCCCAACAATACCAACTTTCTCAGTTTTATATTTGCTCGCCATTTTCTTTCTACAGCACAATATACTTCGATCAAGTCACAAGACTGAATGCCGGTGCGATGCATCTACACAACACTTACTAATTATTACTTATCAACACCTCTTATTATTAACAAGTTTACCAGACGTAGTAAATACTTAACTTTTGTACTAACTGTAAACAGATAATAAAATTGAATTTTAATTATAATTATCGTATATCAGGAAAATTTAAAAGAAAATACAGTATCTTCGAAAGCATGCTTTTTTCTCCTATTTTGTATTATATCTAACTTAACAATAATGAAATAATTAAAATACTATTATATTACTTAAATTTAAAACTAAAATGTCTTTGATAAAATTACTAATCAATAGATTTCTTCTAGAAAACCCAATGTGCGATTATAAAAAAGTTCGTTCCGGAGAATTATTAGAGAAAATTATTTTTATAAACATTTTATTTATTCAACTCTTTAAATTTAATTTTGACTTTTTTTATAATACCCCATGTGCGATTCTACCAAATTTAGTTTCTGAGATTTAGAAGAGAAAATTAATAATTATTTAATTACAGACGATGTGATTATTCAACTATTTAAATATAAAGTATGAGAAGAAATAAAGATGAGAAAATAAAAACAAATAACTTGCATTCCTAAACAAATCTCATTAATAATTTATAGTGCACGTTGCATCGTTAGACTATGTAGATATTATGAAGCTTTTCCCGTGTCTCAGTCAATAACCTACTTAAATACTGTGTGTGCGAAGAATTATGCATTAAAACCTGTTAACGCGATTTAGCAAAAGAAAAAAGAATAAAATTGGAATCTTCTTAACGATTAGGCATTTCTGACAATTTTTCTTACCAGTAGAACACGAGCTGTAAAATGTTTATTTTACAGAAAAAAATAAACTAAATATAAGTAAGTAGGTAAAACGTGAAAAATACTTTTTTTTGTTAAAGAGATTTTCAAGTTGTTGCTTCTATAGTTTCTTTCTTTAATGATAAAACGTTTTCTGAGATTTTCATTAATATATAATAATTAATTAAGTAACAGAACGTAATTTATAAACAAATTAAGAAAGTCAAAATGAAGTACCTACATATCTTTTTACTTAATTGTTCAACTTTTATGTTCATCATTATAATTTAAATAATTCAGTTTAAATGTTAGAAACAATACATTCTGTATTTCTGTTATATTTTATCATAATTACATATTTATAATAACAAAAATTTACGACCAAATCTATACAAACATGCTTTAAGGTTATCTGATACTTGATCTATGGAAGTTTTTTCCAATATATTTTATAACTAGCTTTCCGCCCGCAGCTTCGCCGCGTGGAGTTCGGTTATATCGCGTTTCCAAGAGAACCTTTCAAAAGTCTGGGATAAAAACTATCCTATGTTCTTTCTCAAGGTCAACTCTATCTCTGTACCGAATTTCATTAAAATCAGTTCAGTGGTTTAGGCGTGAAAGCGTAGCAGACAGACAGACAGACAGACAGACAGACAGACAGAGTTACTTTCGCATTTATAATATTAGTAGGGATAAATTATGGATTTCAAACAAATTTACCAACAAATTCATCACTTTATTGTCAGTCCGTCTGTCACACGGTATGTTCCAACAGACCGTTTAAAACAATATCAGTTTAAAATCACAACCTAACTCTCTAATAAATATTTTCTTTACATTGGTTTGTTATAAAAATAATACATATAGAATTACCTTGGACTTTAAATATTCATAATACATTTCATATATGGGTATGTATTAAATTTTAACTTGATAATTATGTATTTGCGTTACTCATAATAGGATATTAATACAAAAACAGAACCCTTAGAACTAGTTAGTGACATCGAACTAAATACGGCGCTTCACTAGTTTTACATTCATAAAAATATGTTGATACTGTCGTTTACGAAGATTTTTGTATAACAAACTGTTAACATTTAGTACGTATTGTAACGATGAACACTATTTGTAAGGTAACTTTTTTTAAAGTTATATTATAGCTCAGATTTATCATAATAAGGAAAGTAAAACACGATATATACATATGTATAAAAAATAAATGTTTTATTTCTTATAATAAATTATTACAATAATATAAAAAAAAAACAATAAAACTACAAGATATTAGAACACTCAGATAATGGAAACAATTACAGTTATATATTGAAATAGACAATTAAAAAATACCACAGAACATATTGTACTTATTTAATCTGTGTAATTATTACGGGCATATAATATTTTTCTTAAAAAATCAATTACAATACCTCAATGTATATTAATTATCTCTGGTTCACTATAGTTTTATGTATCGTCATTGTGAATATTTAAATGGTTTTATATTGTTAGATATATACATATAACTATTCACAGACAGTCCCAGCGATGGCGTCCTTTGCTTTAATGCTCATTATTCTATAATTGATCTCATTGGGGTCAAGCGATTGGTACATGAAACGTGGAAGTTTGTCGCTCAACAGCCAGAGTATACCCTCACTGTCAACCTAAAATTAAATCATAACATATATTTCTATAGTAATTTTGTTCATCAGCATTTTAGTCAGTTCAGGTATATTAATATTGTAAAGCTAAAAAGAGTTTAAATCCTTGGTTCCTAGACATTACTTTAAAAAAGGAAGAATGTCAGATGCAAACTTGTAGAAAAACGCGGGAATGAAATTGACAGTTGTAGATTAAAAATACATTACAGATCTGTAAAAAAGACCATTGATACGAAAAGAAGGGACACAATGTAGTGAATAAAATATATTTAATACTTTACACAGTATTTAAACTTTCAAATTATAAGAAAGAAGGATATTTATCTTTATAGATTGAATTTTCTGTATATCTAGATATCTAGCACGTGTCTATTCAAGGTTTTATAACATTGTTAGTTGCTACAACTCAATAAATCTCTATTCATATTAATCTCATATTATATGACGTATAATCTTAATATGTTTGTATTGTATATATGTATGATTTAATCTGTTTGTTGAGTCTATATATGAAATGGAATTTAAAGTTTGTATGTGCGTATTATATTGTATATTAAATATTTATGTCATTTAATACCTTGGTTTATTATATTTACCTTTAAATCGTTGAGAAACTCGAAGTTTATGGGGTCATTGAACAGCAGCGGGTTATTTTCGGGGGTGTACGGCTTGTTAGAGTTCCAACAACCGATGCCGTCTCTGTTTACCTGTGACATTTATTTGTATAAGTTAAACACATAATTTCAAACCTTCCTAAAAGTATTTATATACGTAAAGTTGGTGTTTCAAATTAATTTGTTTATTTTCTTAGGATAACATAAAATAAAAGTATAAGTAGATATGGTAGAATACTTCAAATTCATGCTTTTTATTTATCGCGCAAAAAAAGTCAACTGTCAAATACATATGTGACAAATCAGTGCTGATACACAGCCATTGATTTTATATTGATCTAAAATGTATTTCAAAGTTTGAAAATAGTAACATTTTAGCAACTTAACATACTAGAACGTTTTCTTGATATTTTATTCTATATAAATATCATCATTATTCCCAGTAAGAAGTTATTAAGAAGAAATTTAGACGCCATTTTGTTTAGAGGTAAAAGTTTTAGAATAACACTACCAAGTTTTATGACACATTGTGTTTATTGTAAGTTAAAACGTAAGTATGGTCAACTTAAACTGACTGTAGGTTAGTCGGTAGTAATATTATTTATTTCTTTGTAAATATACGAACGAGAAAAGATATTATCTTTATAACATGACGTCACGAGTGAATAAAAATATATATGACATAACAAACAGTATTTATTATTACTGCTATTATCATATTCCCATCAATACGAAAAAAAAAAAATTATTTCTTAGAAATATTTAGAAAAATACTACGGATATGACATGATTGTTACATAGAAATACAATCATCAAATGACCGTTGAAATTTTATACCAAACATATAATAAAAAGCATAGTTATAAATATAAATAATTTTGAATATTATAGTAATATTACTTGATATCATCGTTTTTCCTGGTAACAGTCATAGTAGGTAAATTAAAAATACTCTTTGTGTTTCTCGCGTTAAGTCAAACTATATTTCTACATAGATTTAAAAGGGCTATATTATTGCCAACAAAATTTTTGTCAGTCATATTTCTTTAATAATTCTAATTAAATGATTTGACAAATTTAGTTTTTAGTCTCTGTCTGCTATATGAAGTATATAAATTCGATCACGAATCATGTTTATGTTCAATACAATACAATTGACTATGACAAAAAAGTTTTTATACTACGTGCGTAATGTGACTTTGCCTTATAACAAAAGGTTTTAATAGTCATTCTATATCATTGCCAAAATACAAAGCTTACTTCATGGTTACTTATAATATACATTTTGACAGGTACCATACATAAAATTACTTTTTAATTAAATATTTTAAAAAGAAGGTCGAAATAAAATGTATTTTATTACCTGTGTATAGAACAGAACACTAGTGTTTGTGTCGTAGTAGCTCGCTGAAGATTGTGTGTTTTCTCCTCTGTCACCTAGAAGCTTTAAATAAAAAAAAGAATATATTGTAATAAATGTCTAAGATAAATGTTTTACAGTTCTCTTTTCGTGAAATTTACAGGATTGTCTTAAAACATATATGTTGGAATATGGATAGAGAACTGTAAAAATATAAGGCAATAGTCACACTGTTAATAATACGAAAAAATCTCTCAAAAGCATCTGCATAAATATGATCCTAACTTGTCTTTTTTCTTGAACTTACTGAAACCTCAATTAATATTTTTTTCTAAACAATCTTGTTATAAAATTTCCATCTCATTCTTAGGATATAGGTGAAGCCTAAATCAAGATGTTTATTGATTTTATTCTAACCCAATCATTATTTCAACAGCAAAAGAGACCTAGATCGTATCTATTTGTATTCAGTAGTATAGACAACTGCAGTTGTAATACTTATGCAAATATCTGAACGGTTTTTTATACGGACCTTGAAATCGTTGAATGCTTCGTTCCTGTTTATCTGTCTGTAGTTTCTGAGCAACTCCGTTGACACACAGAACTCTTTTGTGCTTGAGAATGCGTGGAAGAACATTGTACGGAACCTGCAAAATAAACAAACTACACTTTAATATCATGTAATCATACATATTATTTATATTAATGTAACTTTTAGACTATTCATCAAGTCTATTATAAGTCATCTAGAAACTAATAAATTAGAATTAGAAGATCAAAGTTAATAAAATTAGCATTAACAAAACAGAGCGTAACAATTTTTAACATTCATTATGCACAATACGTGTTCTAAATGAAGGTCTTTAACAATTCACTCAAGTGGAGCACATTCTCTGTAAGTTCTAATAAACCTTACGCTAGCTTCAACCTTACTCTTAAAAAATAACAAAAAAAAAACAATTTGATAATTTAAAATTATTACTTTCGTGTAGAAAGAAGTTAATAAATATTCTATTGACGTTTGTGGTATAACGGGCTGGCCCAGAATAGCCATTTCTGTGACAATTTATTTTTTTGACATTGTAATGTATTTACGCAAAAGTTGAGGAAGTCTCATTATGGAATTATCACCAATTCCAACGTATTTTTGGTTTATTAAGGCCAATAATTGTAAAATAATTGGATTGAATTTTAATATAAAGAAATGTTTTTATATCAATAACACTTTAATGGTCTTAATTAAAATCGAAAGTAGATTCATGAAAAATTATTTATAAATGGAATGATCGCACACAGAACGAATCGTATTCAGCGAAATTTGATCTTGAATGAAAATAACAGTCAGGTATAAATAGCTGAGGTAATTTACCCATTCTCTCTAGGTTCTGACAGTGAAAGCGCGAAGACTCCATCGGTCCAATGGAAAACTATTCCACTGACGTTGTATGAACCAGCAAGAGGTTCAAAGTGGAAGTAATGATGTGCCACTCGCCAGGAGTCGTCTTGTTTCAAACTGTATACCACAACACCGAATGCTCCCAAGTCTGGGACGTATGCGTACGCGTCATCACAAGTGTTCTTGTCTACATCCACAACCTACAAATTTATATTGATTATAATTCCTCATACTATTAACATATATAGGCTTTGCTTGTGTAGTTTTATGCTCTTCTTGCTTCACTTTTGCATAAGAAGAAGTTTTGCATCGACACACTACACACGCGTTTCCCGTTTGTCAATCAATACGTATACTATGTTAGAAGATTTATGATTCAGAAACTGTTACACTCAGTGTGTAGTGTGACGATGCAAAACTTGTTCTAAGCATATTATAACAATATCTATTAATTTGAATGAATTTGAGGCGTGTAACAAAATAAACATAGTTTCCATATTTTTGTTTATATATCCAATTAAATATTCTGTGTCATTAATGTATGAATAACAGGACACTGTCTCTATTTACTTTGATAATGAAAACTCATTGTAGAAGTATTGAGTCTGTCGTATCGGTTAATAATTTCTAAACCTTTAACGTCTTTATACAAAATATAATAGACTTAATTGTATTTTATTTATTATATAATATTCGGCATGGCAATTCATTCATTTAACTATCAAATCAGTAATATAAAAATCAAATATAGAAATAATAACAATAAATTAATCAATATTGCTGAGTTTGCAATAAAAGCGTGACATTACAAATTCAACATCCATCAAAAACATAGACGTTTCTATTTTATTTAATATACAGGGTAACTGGTGAATTACTATCGATACTTGAGGACGTGATATTTGACGATCATATATGACAGAATAAAAATTAATATAACATAAATATTAATAAACTTCTAGGTAAAGTTAACCAAAAGTTATGTAATTAATTACGCATCGTGTGAACACCCTACAGATTAGGTATACACACACACACACATACATACGCGTGCGCGGCGTGGTGTTGTATCAGCACGGCGCCGCACGCGTCCACACTTGGAACACTTGGAACGTGTCAACACTTTATTTATTTATACGGAAATTTGGTCAAAAATTAAGTACCTATTTTTTTTACATAATCATGTACCGAGTATTCTCCTTAAATATTGATAGTAATTCACCAGTCACCCAGTATAATCATAGAGAAGGATCATCTGCATTGCGAATAACAGAATTAAATAATTATTTTAATATACTTACAATATTTGCGAAGAAAGAATCTTCCTTAATATCCGAAACCTTAAAGTAGTAGCGGTGGAGGAGTTTATCAGTGTTCAGATCAAAGATAACAATAGATGGACCGGCGATTTGGTTTCCCGAACCTTAAATAGATATAAAGTAATTTAACAATCTTATCAAGAGCACAAACATATTTCATTTCACAAACTTTCACTGCACCTATATGGACATGTTATACTCTCAAAGATACAAAGTTTCTAGTGATATTATTATTATAATTTAATATATAACTCACCTAATATATCTGCTAAACCTGAGTCAATAACCCAAAGTCTATCGCAGGGATCAACGTACAACCTGAATACTGATACGATAGATTTGTTTGTTGGTAGCTCTGTAGCTAAATCAGGTATGAGATTATCTTTCATTGAAGGGTAGGGTTTCAAAATCTGATCCTTTGGACCATCTACGTCCACATAATTTAAAGAAGACGCGACACCGTTTTTCCAACGTGGGATAGTCACAAATAATTTGTTCTTCCATCTCGCCAAACCCAGTGGTAGATTGTTTTCTTGGACGAAAACACCGTTTTTCACAGCGTTCTCTCTTTGCGATGGGTTATCCCAAACATAATCTACCTGTTTCCACGCAAAACGTAAGTCAGGTTTGGCTGCCATACAACTTACGAGCGCCGATAGCGCTACGATAAAATGAATTGAATTCATTTTTGTCTGAAACAATAAATATTATTTAAGAAAAAATACTACGTCTATTTCTATTTTCACATGCTCAAATCTTTCACACGTGTGTTTAGAAAGTTTTAAATAAATAAAATTTTCTAAGACAATAGACTCGTTATAAAAGTATTTGAAGAAAATATTTGACGTTCCATTCGTGTTGCAACAGAGTATATATGAATGAGCCAATACAAAAATTTTGTTTACTGTTTATTTTGTAACATCGAAATTGCGAGTTGGATTTGTATTCGCCATAATAAGTGAGGCTCACGTTTTTGCGGATGCTCTTATTGGGAAAGGTTCGTCAACAAGAAGTTTTATCTCTATAAATCTCTTTTGTTACGTTCAGATATCATGAGAAACGAGACAGTTGCACAACTCTATTGAATAAACAGGCACATTCAGCTTATTAATAAACATCTCTGCATTGTTATTATATTAATGATCTTGGTAGAATACAATGTCTAGTCATTTATTTATGTAGTCTTAAATTAGTTCTTAACTTAATTCAACAAGCTAATGACAAAAATATTATTTATATATCTCTTCATGTGAGTTAAATGTATTTTGAACATCTTCAAAAAGACATTTTCATATATGTATTTAGATATTTTTATCTTGTCTATGTAGTTTTTAAAATAATAAAATAATGAGTTGTAATCCGAAAATATTAGTTTTATGTAAACTTCTATATATTAAAAGAAACAAACATCGAATATAATATTATATGCAACCTAAACATTTCCATATTAGTTATCAAGCAGCTAATTTAAAGGGAAGAGATTGTTAAACATTACTTTTTGCCGCGACCCGTTCAAGGCCCTAAGCAACCTGACGCCTAATATATCGATTTGAAACCAAGTCTAATGACATTACAACTCCATTTAAAGAATGCAAAAAAGGTAATATAGGTCGAGAGTATTAAATTACTAGGTTTTGTGTCAACCTGTTTGATTGACAGTAATATATTTACCTTTGATAATGAAACTTTACGCTAAGCAAATTTCAAAACAAACGAAGTTAGTATAAAAAAAAAAAAAAAACATAAATTTTATGGAATATTAACACAATTTTACAATTCTGTGACTGTAGTGGATTTAAAATAATTTAAACCTTCTAATTTCTCATTTGTTAGCAATGAGCCTATTTAAACTTCCAAATGTTACTAACCTATTATGGGGAACGAAAATTAAGATGGAACCAAAAAATCTCCATATTTATGTTTGACCTTGTAGTGACGTCATAACAATACAGTTATTTACCAGATGAAAATAGCCAATAGGTACTACAAAATTTTAAATATTGCAGAACTTTTTTTCCATATTTATCTAGCAAAAGTACACAAAAAACCTTTCTTTAAACTAATATGACTGCTATTTTGATTCAATTAAAATTTCACTCTTAAAAAAACTGTAATTATATCAGAACAAATTTAAAATTGATACGTTAAAAGTTAATAGCAAATTAAAAAGAAATTCTATCTACGTACGTTGTCATAAACATGATTTTTTTTTTTGTACAACTAAACAAACTGTTATTCGCCCACATGTTGAAAAACCCAGCGTGATTCGAGGAATTTTTACTTTTTTTTTATTGATGACACTAAACAAGCGACTAAAATATGAAATAAAATCAAAAGTTGATTCTAAAATGTAGGAAAAACTGCTGTATTTAAGTGTCCACTTTTGTTTCGTAAAACAAAAAAATAATTGTTAAGCAGTACATTATAGTAATTTAAATTTAATTTGACCATCTTTTCTAGTAACATAAAAAATGAGACCATTTAAGATAGATGAATGTTTGACGTGTATTATCGATTCAAGTATTCAACCGTTTTATATAAATACTCATTATTAACAGGTACATAAAAAATGTACGCCGAGGCTACAGAAGCAAATATTCTATATAAGCTTCGATACTTTCAATGCAATGTCAAATAACTATCATATCTCATTGAATACAATATGTTATAGCCATTATTTAGTATTCTCTTAGTAGTAAAATAATTAATAGTATTTACAAAAATAAAGTTCTATAAGGGTCTGATTATGAAATATTGTAGTCGAGCTTATTGGCAATTGGAATAAAAACCATAAATGAAGAAAGAAAAACTTCGAAATTAAAAATTATTATAAAAATAGATTAATTATAATAGAATTTGATTCATATTAGATAAAAAGATATGTTAATCTATTTACGAATATAAGTATTTTTTTTAAAACTTACCTGTAGTATAGGTAACCGTAAATTCGCGCGACCGGTTCGGAGAGGTCGCAATCACAGACTAAACAGCTGAGCAACTCCACGTTTTATTAATATAGACACAACTTAAACTGACCTACGTAATTATAAAATTAATTTATGTAATTATAACCACCCAATAAAGTAAACAAAGTGAATTTAAAAATAGATTAATACGTTTTAAAATGGTAAAACGTCACGAAGATGGGTAGATAAAAAAATCGTATGATTTTTCAAAGGAATTATTTTGTGTATGTGCTTTCTTATCTACTAAAGAATTAGTATAATTAGTAATAAGAGTTTATATTCAAAAGTTTCTATAGTTTTTAGTTATCTCGCCTGAAGCATAAATTATAATTTCATACCATTTTATTTCATCAAATTCATAAGTACCACTTTAAATGTACGTATAATGTGTAGTAGAAATTTTCCCATCAATTAACATTTCATTTAATAAAAAATATATGAATTAACATTTATAATTCACAAATAAATTTAAAAAATAGACATAATAAGACAAATAATTAATAATTATGTTTTATTAGGTAATCGATTGAGAGTTATTATTTTTTTATTGATTTAATGATTTCACATTGCATGTCATTTTCAATTAGAACAATGTATTTTATTAATGAATTGTAGTTATTAAATATATTAACAAAATATATTTCGATGTTTCTAGTTACGATTCAAGGATGTGCTGTCTGTAATTCTCATTCACATTCTATTTTTAGTATGTGTATATAATTAAAAAAAAATGTTAACATCCCTGACATAAAAAATATAATGTTATAACTTTATATTTAGTTTAATTCAAAGATTAATTTGACTGCTATTTTAATTTTATTATCTTGCGCAACCCCTGTCTACTGTAATTAGAGTTAAAAATAGAAATATATAATTTGAACTTATATATCAAAGAAACATATATATGTATATACACGCTTAAATATAATGACTTCATAACTTTCACTAATTTTGTAAACAACATACATATATTCCGAGTAAAAGTTGTCAAAGATTTTAGATGCATCTGTTTCTTGTACGTGATGATACTGGGAACTGTTTCTTATTTTTAATGAGATAATTGTATTTCATTTGTAAACTTATATACTTATTGAATGTATACAAATTATGTGATGTAACATTCGTTTCTATGGCTATTACACATAGTTACTTGAAGCATCAATTTGTATACCCTTAATACATGTTTTCATCTACAAATTAACGGAATAGTTTTATCGTTTTAACTATTCACAGAATAGCACATAGGCGATGAATTTTGAATTAACTTAGTCGTCTTTTAACTTATTCGGCGTTTTATCATCAATTTTATTTTATTTCATCATTTACAGACCCATGTAGATAAGATTATGTACTGAGATTTATACATTTAATACCACCAAACTGTATGTCAGACGTTTAAAACTGATATTAATCGTAGTTGTGTTTATTGTTACAATGTACTTACACTCAATTTAGTGTGTCAAGTTGATTGCGCGATGAGTGTTGTGAATTCGATCCATGATCACGTTATTCAAGGCCCGTCCCTCCATCCGCTGTCCATTCATGACTGCAACTTTATTAATAACTAGGCTTTACCTACAACTTCGTCCGCGTGAACTTAGGAATAAAGCTCAAAAAGAAATGTGTAGTGTGTTAAAACAATAGATATACTATTTAACTAGCAGCGACATCTATAATGTATCCCGTGACTTCCGAACAAATTTACTGTTATATGTACCTCAAACTCGCTAACTATCAATAATTATATCATAAATTATAGCCTTTATCTTATTTTAATAACCAGGCTACATTACTGTACAGTTTCATCAAAATCGTTTAAGTATTTTTTGCGTAAATAAGCAACAAACATTCATAAACTTATTCCATACATACATACTTTCTCACAAACCTTTTCATTTATAATATTAGTGGGACTTGTGTTAAGGCGTGAACATCGAAATTCAACCGGTCATTTGTTAGTCCGGTAATTATTTAAATTGAACAGAAATCGTTATAAAAGTCGGCCATGCGTACTATATTATTAACAATGAATACTTAACTGTGGAATATTTACCCAAAACATAAAAGTTTGCTTCACAATATTGGCAGGACATTCACCTCCAATGATTTCCTTGAATGACTCATCACAGACGTCTTAACATATGTATAATCTAAGATAACTTTTACTAAAAATAGTAATTATTATTTTAAGTCTTTATACTTTTATTTTTTGTTTTTCTATTGATTACTATCAATTTTATAACATTCTATAGGTACTAACAAATATAATTGAAGTGTCTGTTTGTAATTTAAAATTAATAGCTTTCCACTGAAACTACATGAAGTTATATACTAAAAGTGCTTTTAATACGCAGGCGAAAGCAAGTTAGAAATTAAATAAAGTATTTATTTTGACTAACTATAAATACATATTGATTTTTTTTTAGCCTATCGAAGCCCTTTGCTGAACAAGGCCTCTTTCTCACATGGAGAAGGTTTGATCGTTAATCACCACGCTTGCTCAAGACGGGTTGGTGATTTCAAACTTACATATTGATGCTTTTGTTATATTAAAATTTAGTGTATTTTTTATTCCACTGTAGATAATTAAGATATTTGCAAACAATTAATTAAAAAACAGTTAAGACTTAATCGAATGTATTTTTAATAACGATTGCGTTTTATAAAGATTTATAAGGTGGTTCTCAGGCGTTGCTATTAGGGGCAGTGAATTTATAATGTACTTA